CATATATGTGGCCATGTAGCTAAGCTATAATGAGGAATATCTTAAAGTAGCTGGTCTCCTTTTTTCTACATCAATATGTACAAAAACAAAAAAAAATATACAAAAATAAAAATAGCAACAAAAAAAAGATGTAATTTGCAAACAAAAATAGTAAAAACAAAAAGAAAATATATAGTCCACAGACACATTTTCAATAGGAATTACTTGTTATAGCTCACCACAAGCCGTATTTCTTGTCCTGGCAGAAGTTCACAATAAATCAGCTCCTGTAGTTTTGTAGTTTGATGCTTTTTAGCTAGGGCGGAATAGTCTTATATTGGCTGTGGAGGAATGATACTTCTATGGTGAATGTAGATCTGGAGCTTTTTCTCTGAAACTAAGAATGATATCTTCCCCTGTTTGGGTTGCTTATATTATACACCCAGATTCCAAACTTCTTATGGTACAGCATAGCATATTGCCATCTGTACTTTTTAAGCCACTAGATGTCCATATCTAATATGAATAGTAATATAGAATATAGAATTTTTAACATCTTTGTTTTCTTCACTTTGTTCTATGGGCAGCACATTTTCCTCAGTGCCTATATCAGAGATGCCAACAGGCCACCATCATGTGTAGCACTGGTGGCAGTGGTTAGCTTCATGTTACTGTGGGCAGACTGTATGGGGGCAGGGCAGCTAAAGAGCCCTTTTCTAGTGTTGGGCCTTTGGTCCAGCTGGTCAGTCTGCCTCTGTCTTTGAACCATGTTCTTTGTAATTTGATCACAAGAGGAATGATAGATAACTACCCTAGGCATATGCTGTCTACAGTATTTTTGCTAAATTGTAAAAGTATATTCCTATAAATCTGCTTTTTATTTCTCATATTAAGTGATCTGTCTATCTGTTTGTCCATCTATCAGTCTGTTTGTCTATCTGTCTATCAAAATAAAAAAAAAAATATTTTGCCCAATTATAATAAATAATATTTGTGGGTGCAATGAAAAATACAGAATAGTGATGTCCCGAACGGTTACCCGCGGTTCGCCACGAATGGTTCGCCACGGACTCCAGTCAGCAGGCACATTCCAGCCAATAAGCAGCAGACCCTCCCTCCCAGCTGCTTTCTTAGTGAGCTGTCCAGGAGGTGCGAGGGTCTGGGAGGGAGGGTCTGCTGCTGATTGGCTGTAATGTGTCTGCTGACTGGAGTCCGCGGTGAACCGTTCGGGACATCACTAATACAGAATAACCATTTGGAAATAATGCAGACAGAAGTGCTCCATGTTTTCATTATCATAAACTGCACTTGTCGGCTGAAACGTTTCAAAAAAATTCTTCTTTGCTAAACATTTATTTTGGTGCTTTACAATCCATTGGACACTGAGTTAGCAGAGAACAAAATATCATGAAAGTACTTTCAAAGTAGTTAATGACTTATGATTTTTTTAAAACCACATTTCTGAATTAAACTCTTGTGGTTAAAATTGTCTACTTTTGAGCAAGCACCTGAGCTCCTAAATATGTTGAAATATTCATTTCTAAACCACTGTTTCTTTTACATATGGCAATCCTAAATGTGCAGCCTTTGCAAACTTTTAGATCAAATTCTCCATTAGATCCCTTACTATCAACTAGACTTGTGCATTAGGCTTTGGACAAATTGTGTACCTTTGAAGTGCCATGTGGATGTAAAACTGGCCAAATGACTAGCGTGGTGGCCGAACATGCTCAAAGTTCAGCATTTGTATGTTTTGCAAAGTCATCTCATTGTTATATCGCTGCTTGCAGTGCAGTGGCCTGGGGATGCAAGGGAAGGTAAGTTTTACATGCCTAAAGCTGCCCCTTGCAGTCACTGAAAGTCATTTCAAGGCCTGGACTGGTCATCAGGCCAACCTGGGAAAATGCCTGGTGAGCTGCAAGGTCCATGGGCCAAGGCCGACTGAGCAGATTAAAGAATTTCCCTTGCCAGCTAATACAGGGCCTGTTCTGGTATTGCTTTGTGCCTTCACAGCCGTTGGGTGGATCAGCAGGATAGGGGAGGAGAAGGAGGGCCAGGGAGGCTCCAATCTGCACCTCAACTGGGAGCAATGCAGAGCATTGCCGCGGATTACTAGGACAGCACTCCAACACAGTGCCAGAGCTCTCAAGAAAAGGGAGGGTCTATCTTTTTTTAATTAGGTATTTTTGCATGTGACAGTGTAAGAAATCAGTAAATTTCAAAACTGTGCGTATGAACTGACAACACAGTGAAAAGAAGACACACAGGTTTTAAACCAGCAGATATATATTCCAGAAGGTGCATAAAACAGCATGAATAGACCGGTATTTCTCAGCATCAGAGACTCACAGGTATAAACATATTAAGTGTATACAAAAAACTTAGAGTTAGGAAATTAAATTTGGAGTCAAAATATGATTAATGAGTAATCAACCATTCAACCATTGTTTGGCTTCAGATTCTCTGATTCTCAGTATCCATCTTTCCAATCATATTCTCCTCCTACAGAGACCCTGGCCCCTCTCTTCTTTTCCCAATCTTGGCATGGTCATTTATAATGTTAAATACGGGTGATTACAATATCTATCCAGAATACAATACCATTCACCTTAAGAATATTAAGTCTGATGCAATCTCCTACAATAAAATGTAGAGCTCCAGTTACTTATTTGCCAATTTACTAGGAGTTCACATATACGATGTAGGCATTTTGATGTCAACCTAGGATAATATATCATAAGCCCATGAAACATTATGCCAAATGAACATCTATTATCCAAAAGACAAAGACTGACATTATGCCAAGTACCTCATAGCAGAGGAATAGAAATTATTAGAAAAATAGGTGGAACAAATTGAAGGTTAGAAAAATATCAATCAGATACAGTTAATTTTAAGAAAGGTGTCATCAAAGTAGTATGGCCAAAGAAGTGGAAATATTTAACAATTCAAATGGTAACAATATAACTAACAGTGCTGCTGCCACTGGGTACATTTATAAAACAATATGAATATCAGCTGGCTAATATGGAACAATAGCTAGTAATATAGACATGCTTTGCTATGTACATCTCAAGTCTCAAATATTGGCCATTGGGAATATCTCTGATCATTAGTAGCTGTTGGTTTTGTAAAAATGTACAAGTCAAGCCACCTCTAAGTCTAATAAACTCTTCAAATCTAAAAAATTAATTGACAGTTCATTATACTCAAACAATTAACGTGAAATGCTGCAACAAAGTCCAAGTAAAGCTGCCAACTGCAATTTCAAACTGATAGAATGTCATTGTAGCGGACCATGTTTGGCTACTAACCACGTTCCTTAATTTTGGCTGTCCATAACTTTGATTGCTACAGTATTATACATAATTTGCCACGGTTCATTACTTTTAAGAAACAAGTAACAAGTTGGCTGCTATAGCATTCGTCTGGTTGTTCGGTAGGAATCCAATTGCAAACTTATTAAGCCTTTCCGTTCAACAAACGAACAAACTACTGAACAACCAGGCCACCCCAGAGAGGAACGTGACTCTAATTGACCCCCCCATCATTATTCACACTACCTTGTTTGCTAGTCACACGAACACACTGTGTATTTCCTGGTTGGCTGCCGTTCGGCATACAAACACATGGCGGCGGCCATCTTTACATACGAAGGCACCAGAGGTGTTTGGTCATCGAGTGTCTAGAACCCAAATCAGACACTTGACCACGCAAACATCCCAGAGACCTCCATACTTCCACCTGTTCATGGGGAAACATACGAACAGAACGGCGTTCGGTGAAAGGAATCATGTGAACAATTTCGTGCTTTTCACCTCATGAATGGAGACTGACCGCAAGGCCAAAAAACATGGAACTCTCTTCGGCTAACACCTCGTGTGCGGTCGGTGAAAAGAAGACCTCCAGGAAATTCACAAACCCCTGAACCGATCTGGGTGATTTTTCAGTATGTTGCTCACCCAGATCGGGGCTATCAGGGGATATGTAATTTATGGGTGTAAGTTAGAGTCTTGGGGTACATCCAGGAATTGGGGAAATATGTGTGCTGAAACTGTATAGATAATTAAGATATCTCCAAGGCTAAGGGGAGGAAACCTGTGTACTGTAACCAGCTAGTGATTGGGCAATTCCTATTTTTTTAAGGTGGATTGCATAAAAGCAGAGTGTGTGTCATTAAAAATTAGTTCTGCTTTGTATACTGAGTGTCGTCCAGTTATTGGGAAAGGCGATGGGATATTTGTGGATTACTTTATTTACTGCTTATGCTGTTCTTCCTATGATAACCTACTTGATACTGTGTAACTATTGGAATACCAGTGGAGAAAAGTCCATGTTAAATTAGCGCTCTGCTACAGTCATCATTGTATCTTTTTCAAAACAAGCTACAGTGAGAGAAATTCTCCATCCCAGGTGTAAAGATTTTTTTTTCCCATTAGCCTAGTCGGAATTTGGCCAAATAAGCCATCGCCATGGTTGCCTCCCTCACTTGGTGGTAAAGTCAACCGTTTGAAAGAAAAACAAATATGAGTCAAAACAAATCTCAAAAGACAGGCCATGAAATCTGTATGGGAAATGAAACCTTCCCCTTCTGTCTAAGGAAAGACACATTGTGGTCAATTCCAATATCATGCATAATTAAACTATACAAGGATTTGACATTGATATTGCATAATAGCAATTGGGGAAGCCAGATTTGAACCTAAGGCATTTCATTCTCTGCCTTTGTTTTTTTTTTTTCTTTCTGGACTGCTTTCATGAGCCCGGGTGTGGCTTGGGCTCTGGCTTCAATGGCTGCCTAAACTCAAAGCATCGCTCCTCATAGCTCAAGAAAAGTAATAAAATGCCTTTATTTGAAGCCAGAACTTCCTTATGGGTCATACTAAAAAAAACTGATGCCCCCAGACACAAGGAGGCTCGCAGAGTGAATCTCTGTCAGGACGAATGGATGGCTTTTTGTATGTTACAGAAGGAACCCAACATCCAAATCAATGACAAGTCAACACACGTCTTTCTCCAAAATGGTGCTCTTGCCACTGGCATCGTCTACCTCTGATCCAGAGCAAACCACACTGGAGAAGATAGGCACTGATTTGCACTGCATGGCAACGCCCCTGGTCACAAAGCAGGACCTGCAGTCACTATCAGACCTCCATGAAGCTATCAGGTCAGAAATTGCCTTTTTGTGGACGGAGGTGATGGCTCTGGAGAGATGCATACAGGCCCTGGGTACTAACACACAAACCCTCTCAGGCCAATTCACTGCTAGAGATACTGCAGTGTCTCACAAGGAAACCATGCTTCTGGCTCTCAGATGCCAAATGGAAGATTTGGACAAGCGGGACCTGAAATGTAATATTCTGATAAACGATGTTCCTTAATCGCCTGGTGCAGAGGATGTTCAGAGCTGTTTTGAGGGATGAAGCTCCCCCAAAGTTTGAATTTGATCACACACACAGTGTGGTTCATCTGCAAATGGGGGATAAGCAACCACACAACATTACCTGTTGCCACCACTTCTATCCTGTTAAGAATAAGCTAATGCTAATGCACATTCCAGGCAGATTTGGACTTTTGGGAGCATAAGTGTGTTGTCGCTGCTGACATTGGAATCCAGAAGAGCACTGCAGCCTGTTATTTCTACATTGAGGGAACAAAATATCATGCATAAATAAATTCTAGCTGCTACTTCTCGGACCTAAGGAGAAGAAGAGTGACATTTTCTGTGCATGATACCATTAAAAAACTCATCATGGATGAATGGTTGCATATAGACAGAAAACTGTCAGAACAAGGTAGAATTTCATGCCTCTAATCATTTGGGAAAATGGACTCTAGTTTTTGGGACTCTGTTTCAAAAGTGGATTCTGCAGTGCTCAGGCTTTCCAAATGCACTACCTTACCAGTTGATAATGCATGCTCATTTAGAGATCCCATGGATAAAAAGATGGACTTGAACCTTTCTAAAGCCCATGTAAAATTGGAGGAGGATATTAAAGAGGGCAGGAGCAAATCTTCTCTATTAGACAACTTAAAAGACATAAAGCTGGTAGTAAACTTTACCTCAGAATCCTCAGTGAACACGGTGAGAGACCTAGTGTCACGTTCTGTTCCTCGTTGCGGATCTTTCCTGCATTGGCTTGTGGTATCCAGTATCCTTTTTGCTGTCCTTGCTTGGTTTTTCTGGTTTTCTAGTCTGTCTGGTTTTCTTTGTTGCTGGGTTTCTGGGTTCATTTCTGTAATCCATCCCTGGGTTTCCCAGTCTCCAGGTTTCCTTTAAATGTTTGTTTTATGTTGCCACACCTGCTTGTTTCCACTTACCCTTTTGTTTCAGCTTGGACCTGCAGCAGTATTTCATCTCTCTGCCCTTTCTTGCAGGTAAGTGCTAATGTGGTATAGTGTGGTTGTTTTAGTTTGCATTAGGCAGTGTAGGACCTGCCAGATATGGGGTACATTGGCGTTGTTGGCAGGCTTATGCAATGTATGATCATATAATGTAACTAAATCCCCATACTTTTCATAATTAGTGCTTAGCTATGTTTCCTCTTGTTTTACCTTGTATCTCTTGTCTTGTAATCCCAGTCCATGTACAGTTCTGTTCAGTCATGCCCATGTTATGTTCTTGTTTTCCTCATGTCTTGTGTACATGTTCTAGGTTTTGCTTTCTGTCCTGCTCTGGTTCTGGGTTCTACTAGTTCTGTCTTGTTTTCATGTATGGTGCCTATTTCTAGTCTTGCCCTGTTCTCCTAGTTTTGTCTTGGTTTCATGTATGGTGTCTATTTCTAGTCTTACCTTGCTCTACTAGTTCTGTCTTGTTTTCTTGTATGGTGTCTTGCTCTCCTAGTTCTGCCTTGCTTCAGTACTGGATACATCCAAGCTATAGAGCCTCCCTATTCAGCTCCTGGGAGGTCTGCTTAATTATCTTCTCCTAGTTCCTGGGATCCGCATAAACTGAATCAGGGTTCTGGTATGTGGCTGCACAAATGCTGGTGCTCAACACCAGGGGGCGTGCGGTTGCCCTGCACCATACCCTGCTAATCCACCTCCACACTGTGACTCCTACTCTCAATAACAGGCATAATGGGTCCCGGTCCACGCACCGCCGCCCGGACAGTGTCTGGGTCCCGGGCACCGGACCGCCACCCGTGACACCTAGCCAGAAATATGGCTCTCTGTTTCAACTAGAAGAGCACTCTGGCTCAGATCTGATGCCATTTTCATAGAGATTTGCTGTTTGGCAAGAATATGCAAGAGATTTTCTTCAACAAGATTACTAATCCAGGGATCCTTGGACTGTAATAACTACAGGTGCCAGCCAGTGGGAATGAGGAGCCCATCTTCAGAGGAAATATATACAAGTGAAATTGACATTCTCTGTAGTGAACACTCCTTCCAATAACTTCTTGCAGTACTCAAAGCCCTTAACAATTTTAAACAACAGCTTTACCACAAATGGGTAAACATCAGAACAGACAATGTCATGGTTGTAGCATATAGCAACCGTCAAGGAGGAACTCAAAGTCGCAGAATGATGAAGTTTAAAAAAGAATGATGTGGCAAACTTCAGTAGGGTGAAAATAGATCCAGGTGAATGGGGTTTATGAAACAAGATATTCCAAATGGTAGTGAAAAAGGGGGGCCTTCCCCCTGTAGACTTAATGTCAATAAGCAACAACAGGAAGGTAAGCAAGTTATTCTCAAAAGTCTCAAACCACAAGTTATAAGAAGAGACACACTATTATGCAGCTTTCAAGAATTCCATCATCTGCGCCAACAAGGTCAGTTTCTTCACACAGATCCAGCATCCCTCAATTTGATGGCGTAGAAATTGAAATGGAAGGGCTAAAAGACAAATGTTTTTCTCAGGCAGTAATACACTTTATTACAGACCAGGAAACACTCCACTTCAGCCACATATTACAGAATACAGGATGTCTTTTCTATATGGGCAATTTCCAAACATACAGATATTCAGAAACCCTTAACAAAAGACATTCTGGAATTTCTCCTTTTTGTGTAATTCTCAAATACTTTATTTTTTTTTTATATTTCTTATTTTTTATTATATGAAATTTTTAACATTTGCATGTGAGGTACCCCAAAGGCAATCCTCCAGCACATTAAGACAACCAGATACAAAGATAAATGTTAAAAAAACACAACAAAAATTAGACAAGCAAACATAAAATAAAAAAAAATAAAAACCATTAATGTAACTGCTAAAAGCATAGATAAGCTGGCAATAAATTGTAATATAGGCACTGTGTAAAATTAAACACCAAATGTTTCCACATAAAGTACAGTGTTTCCATTGAAAACCATCGTACACATGATGTATATTTCAATCACGCTACATTTGTCCACTGCCAATCGCTATCAAAAGGAATTAACACCAAAAATTTCCATGGTATAGCTGTCACATTGATAAACATACAAATAGATAAATAAATAGAATTATAAGAAAAAAAAAATTATAATACAAATAAATTACATTCTCTGAGACTCGATATGGGGGGAACCACAATCTGTTATCATAAATTCTGTCTATTTGTCCAGGGTAACCATAGTTTGGCCACATCTCTAGTGCCAAAAAATGGGTTTGATTCCATCCTGTACTGATAATCTATTTGCTCCATAATATTGTGCCATATTAATGGGATAGAAGATTTCCAAGCCCTAGCTATACATATTTTAATGGCAAAAAATATATGGGTCAAAAGATATTTTTGATATTTATCTTGCGAAGGGAAACCAATGTTAAAGAGAAAAAGTTGAGGGCTAATTTCTTTTATCTTCTTAAAAATAGAATTAATAAGGCCAAGTATTTGAATTTTTATATTATCAAGACCCTGACATTCCCACCATATATGATAAATAGTGCCCTCCTCATTTCCACATCTCCAACAATTCTTAGAATGTACAGATGATATTTTATATAGTCTAGCCGGTACTATATACCACCTATATATTATCTTTAAATGTGTTTCATAGAGAGAGACGCTATGTATACAGTGCTTAACTAGGAGTGTAGCTTTGGTCCATTCCAGAAGTGGAAAGGATACCCCAATATCTTGTTCCCATTAACAAAGGAGGTAGCATGAGAGTCTTGTTCCATTGATTCTAGCAATTTTTAATAAATCTAGAAATCCCTCCCTTCTTTTTATATAATACAATAAGGGGATTAACGTTGTGGTCTTTAAGTATAGTCCGAGATAGTAAAAAATTCTTAATCCTTAAATATTGAAAAAGATCTCTAGGGGAAAGGTTATACTTTTCTTGCAATTGTATAAATGGGATGGGTTTAAATCCATCCCATAAATCCGAGATCTTCACTAGGCCTAGGTGTGTCCAAGATTGAACATTTATATTATCCATTATGTGTTGTAGGACCACTAATGGAACCCTATATAATAATTTATCTTCTAGCTTCAATTTTTTATTTAGGATTTTGGAGGTATTGATCATATCTATCAATATACGGTTCGAAAAATACTTGGTATCCAGTTCACACAAATTTAACATACCCATCCAAGAAAGAATGAACAATTTATATCTAGGGCTATCCTCCTGTTCTAGCGTAAGCCATGATTTATATCCCTGTTCCTTGTCTAGCCACTGTAAAAGATGAGTCGCCATACATGCTTCATGGATTTTATCGACATCTGGAAATGCTATACCACCCTTCTGATAGCTTCTTCGAAGAGTGTCAAAAGCTATCCTAGGTGGTTTATTTGCCCAAATACATTTGGAAATCAGAGTTTGAAAACTGTTAAGAATACCTTTCCCCAGTCTATAAGGAATCGCCCTAAGATAGTATATAAGTTTAGGTATCAGAAATGCCTTGATCATATTTAATCTTCCTATCCATGAGGACTCAGTCTTCCTCCATTTGTCTACCAGTTGTTGCAGATCTCTTAATAATTTATCATAGTTTGTTTGTATCGTCCTCTCTATATCAAAAGATATTCTAATCCCCAAATAGTCAATAGTATCTTTTGCCCATGAGAGTTGGAAATGTGCAGTCAGAAGATCTTTCTGAGCCTTGGGTAAAAAAAAAAGGCTAAAATTTGGTTTTTTTTCATATTGACCTTATAGTTGGAGAAACTACTATAGATGGATATAGCATCCAATACTGATGGAATTGAAACCATCGGATCCATCAGGATAAGGAGGACATCGTCTGCGAAAAGGGAAACCTTGGTTTCCCCATTAAGAGACTTGACCCCCTTTACATTAATATCCTGTCTGATCAAGGTGGCCAAAGGTTCAATTGTAAGAATATATAACAGGGGAGCCAAAGGGCAACCCTGTCTAGTACCATTTTTGACCTCAAAATGGTCAGACTCAACAAAATGGTTAATTATTTTAGCTGTAGAACTCC